TTTTTTAAATTTTTATTTTTGGCTTTGTTCTTTTTCCCGTTTTTTTTGGGGTTTGTATATTTCCTTAACTTAAGTTCAGTATTTTCCATTTCTTGGCCAGTGCTTAGATAAACTTCCTTTTTTAGTGTGCAATTCTTCGCCTTTGTTGTAGAGGCGCCTTTTTTTTGTTTACTCTTTTTGTTTTTTTGGGAAATGGCCCTTTTTGCTACCTCACAATGTTTAATGTGTAATTTTGTATTCTTAAAGTTTTGTGTGAAGATAAAGGTAAAAATGTACTTCTGCCTTTATTTAATCAGTAAATTGTGCCATTTTATCCCTTTTTATTTTACCTTGTATGTACCCTCCTTACATACATTTTTGGATAATTAATAGAAGGGAAAACTGATTTGGAAAAGGGTTCCAGTTAATCTGATTTTTGCATGGTGGTATTTTGTAGTGGATGCTTCTTCCAACAAAACCCCCAGTGATCCCCCCAAGGCAGAATATATACAGTGGACCCCGGTTTACGATATTATTTCTTCAGAACTCCCAAATGTAATGACACGATTGCAAACAAACCTACCCCCCGGGATTGAACCCCCAACGGGTGGGTTTTTAGATCTTGACCGGGGGTCAATCCCGGTCGGGGTTTGGTTCATTTAGAAATTGTTAGTGCCCGTTTGAACGAATTTGCCCCATAAGGAATATTTTGAAATTTGTTGTTTCCCTTTTCGACCCCCAAAATACACGAAAAAAGACCTACATAAAACACACTAATTGGGCATTTGGGAGGTGATCGTAAAACCCGGGGGGTCACTGTAGAAATGTTGTAAATAATTGTGGCTGTGTTTAAACCCTTAAATGTAAAATGTTTTTTATGTTTCTATGCTGTGCTCATAAAATTTAAAAAAAAAAAATTATATGAAATGGGTTTTAAATTTTTTGTGTGAATAATTACCTAGATTTTCTGGAGGGGTTTTTTTGGGGGGCAACGCCCCCTGCAGCCCGGTCTGTGACCGGTCTGCCCAAAAAATTTTTTGGGTAGTATTTTTTAAGATTTACCTCTTATTATTTACTGCTAAAACCCTATAGTCTTTATTTAAAATGTGCTTTTTTTTCTACGTCTATGTAAACCCCCCAAAAAAGGTTCCCTTGATGTGGTGAGAGGCTTTTGTTTAGGGAATTGGATCTGTGCTCAGTTCCCCGAATTAAACTGTATTTTCCATCCCCCCCCTCAGGCCTGTATAAACTTTGGGGGTTTTGCGCTTCCCCCCGATTAAAAAAAAAAATCCCATTGTAAACAACTTATGTTGGCTTCTGCCATTTTCAAGTCATAGTTGGTGTACATTATTTATAATCTTAGTCTTAAAAACTTAATACATAGTCAATACTTAAGTTCTTTACTTTTTATTATTATTTTTTATTATTTTTAATTTTTTTTTTTTTTTTTTTTTTTTTTTTTTTTAAAGTTTTTAAGCCCTTGTGGTTAGCGCTTTTTTGATTTAATAATAATAATAATTATTTTTTACATCTACTTGACCAAAAACATTAATACACTTGTCCAAACTCCCTTTAAAAATATTCATTACGGAACCAAACACTGTAAATAATAAAAATTTTAAACTATCATTTAACCTAAATGCTAATGATCTGTCGACCCAAATTTAAATTTTTTAACCAACTCCCAATAAAAATTAAAAAGGAAGTAACTCCCCTCTATTCACAGCATCAAACCTGAACTCCCTAAGTAATGCCACATACTAACATTTCTCAATTACAATTTTAGTCCCTAATAAACACTAATGACTTCTGGTACTTTTTTCTTCCCCTAAAGCAATCTTCTCCGTTTATTCTCCTGTATTTTTCTCACAGGACACAATAGATACCACTCACTACCAGAAACACTCAGTCCACTGCTGTAACCTTCCCAATTTTGCATGGTTTCCCCATCTATTTCCCCCTGTTTTTCTCCGTATTATTTTTTGATTTTATTCTCTCTGTTTATTCTCTCTGATTATTCTCTCGTTTTATTCTCTCTTTTTTCTCCTGTATTATTCTCCTGATTATTCTCACAGACACAAATAGATACACTATCATCCAGAATACACATCATCATGCTGCTGACCTACCAAGTTTGCAGTGGTATTGCCATACTTACTCTATGAATCTATCATTTTAATAACACCACTTGCTATTAGTGATTGAATATGGAGATTTATATTTTGCAAATTTTACCGTTTTACCTTAAGACTCCTATAACAATCGGTGCCATTACGGACTGCCTCATCAAACATCCAGATTTCAGTGATAATTAAAGACTACTAATAACAAACAACAAATGACAACTACCACCTTGCTCCAGCGGAGACATTCACATTTACTTGCCTATCAGATGACAACCAGTAACTGATTTCATCAACAATATGAACAACACACTACTCATACCAGCTATAGAGAAAATCTACCAGACTATGAGACATGCAACCTAATTGAACCAATAATGGACAATATACTGCTCCCTTAAATCAGGGATAATCACAGACAGCACTACTGACCAATACCCCACCTTCATCTTACAAACATTAGTAAACAACCCTGGAATATGATTGCCTGTGGCTGGTTGCAAAAGTTCTCTCGCTTCACATGTGAGGTCCGGGTTCCATTCCCGGCTAAGGGCTGCGGAAACATCGAACGTGTTCCATACACCGATGTCTATGTTCACCATCAGTAAATGTACCTGGTGTTAGTTTGACAGGTGTGGTTTGCATCCTAGATAAACTAACCTGAATTTGCCCATAATGCTCTGATAAAAGCTTCTATTATGTACTATGTCACTAATGTCGCTTGGTATGTTATACTTTGTATATGTACTGGTAGTAATATAAGATTATTTTTATTATTGCACACTGGCGATTCCACCAAAGTAGGGTTGCCCGAAAAGAAGAACTTTCACATCACTCACTCCATTCACGTGTCTTGCCAGCAGGGTGCTTTACACTACAGTTTTTAACACCTTCAGGGCACTGAGGCAAATCTCAAAGTTGTGAGCCAGGTCCAAGACTTTTTGCAAACGAAAAAAAAATTTTCTTATAGAATTTAAGAATAAAAAATTTCTTATGGTAATACAATAAAATAATTGAGGCCTGTGCATCACACAGTCGTTTCATTTGCTCAGAACCGCTAAACACCTCAAATGATGTAGTTGAAGTTTTGACGGTAAGACTGAAATCCAACACCTTGTCATTGGTGGTAAAAGAAACACTCTGGAGCAACCACCCATGCAAATTCTGGAAGCAGCTTGAGAAAATCGACCACTGTCTGGAAACTCTCCTAACTAAGTTTGTCAGCTGACATCACTAAAGCAAAACAACAAGTGCATCAACTGACATCATTAAACCAAGACAACAAGTGCATCTACTGATATCTTAACCAATGCAAAACGGCATCAAGGTCTACTACCACTGGTGCATGTCATCAGGAGCGAAGAAATCTCTTAGTAACTTGGGTTTTGACTGAGAAACAAGATAGTGTTTCCCTTAAGGTGATTTTCTTATCATTTTTATGGATTTGGAAATCAGTAGAATGTTATTTGGGGGAAACATGAATTAGTAAAAGAAAAGAACTAGCGATCCATGTACCATCACACACTGCAAAGGGTGGATGGCTTATGGTTACAAAATGGTGATAACACCACTTAATTTATAAAGGAATATAGAACTGCCTCGCATATACAGCACCTCTTTTCGGTGTTCCACATTTTCGTTGGCATTCAATTGAGCCATGTTCGTTATGTCAGTGTTTTAACCTCTTTCTACTGTTCCAACATCAGTTCATAGTGGAAGGTGCCATATTTTAAGAAAAAAAGTATTGTATGTGCAATGTATTTTACTTATGCGTCTTTTTTTTTTTATGCCTAGTTGTATTGAGCACTTAACCCTTTCAGGGTCCGTCCCGTAGATCTACGGCTTTACGTTCAGGGTCCAAACTGTAGATCTACGCCATGGTCGTCACTCTGATAAAACTGTGAGTGGTACATTTGGACACTAGATATGAGAGAATACATCTATGTGGTATGTCGTGCACCACATAAACAGATCCTGCAGCACACTGATATAAAGAGAAAAAAATGAAATCATGATTTTTCGATTAAAACAGCAACTTTGCAGTGTTTTAATCGTATGTTTTTTATAGTTGTATTTGCGATTTCTTGTTCATTCTGATAGAATGGAAAGACATATTACCAGAAATAGAGATGATTTTGATTGTTTTAAGCATGGAAATGGCTTGAAACTGAGCTCAAAGTAGCCAGAAATGTTAAATTTTTGCCGATATTCAAGAGTAAACAACGACGCTCACATCGTCTAAACACGTCACTGTGGGTCTAATATACTTCACAAATATGGTGATGATTTATACAATTATTACAGTATTGCATAACAGTAAATCTTCTATTTTTGTCTAGTAAAAAAATTCATTATGTAATAAAAAACCAAAATGGACATAATTTGTAAAGCCTCAAAAACATAAACTAACTGAACAGAGGGAAAATGTTTTAGTTTTGTGCAGGAAAGCTATGCCTACATTGTTCATTCATGGACCCTATTTGAAATTGAATATTTGAGAAACTTTGTGTTAAATTGCCAAATTAACAATTTCGATCACTTATTTTGTAGTTGAAACAGTTGACTGGCGATTTCTTGTGCCCATCGTTAGATAGAAGTATACTAGTGAGAATAGTCTAAAGAATTTGGTGAATTGGAATAATGTAATGTTGGCCTTTTAAAATGTCAAAGTCGGCATAAATCGCCGATTCGTAAAGTATGCGTGACAATTCTTTTACAATTCGCGAGGCATAATTTTCGTCAATTTTCCACCAATATTTGGTAATTTTTCGTTTTATTAACCTTCACAAAAAGATTCTCTACGATTCATAAGGAAAAAATACAAATTTATTTTTTGAAACTACTCGGACACTGGTGCGTAACTCCAGATTTGGGCTTGGACCTGAAAAGGTTATATATGATAGTGTAAATACATTATCAGGGACGAGGTGTTGCAACCTTAAGAACACACATAAAGCACTTGTTCTCTTTTACAGAGTAATGAGAAGCTGAAATGAAGATTCCAACCATTAACCAACAGTGACAACTGACATCAGTAAACCAAGACAACAAGTGCATCAACTGATATTACTAAACCAAGACAACAAGTGTGTCAACTGATATTACTAAACCAAGACAACAAGTGTGTCAGCTGACATCATTGAACCAAGACAACAAGGGTAACAAGTTACTGCCACTGGTGCAGTCATCAGGATTGAAAAAGTCTCAGTTACTTCGGTATTTTGATAAGGAAACAATGGCTAGTGCTTCCCTTAAGGTAAGTTTTTCTTATCATTCCTTCAGTGATGTGCCTTGAGGCTGCTGGAAGGTTCTTAATCCATGGAAGCGGAGCTGTTCCTTGGATAAAACACGATTAATGTCTTGTATTCCTTACTCTTTTCCCCAGTACCCCAAAATTTATGCTCAGTGTCCACTTTTTATAATAAACTAATCCGCTTGTGAAATGGTCAAGAAATCCCTTTTCTGATAAGTAATGACACCACAAGTATCAAAATTTGGGATGCAATTTAACAGCTTGATTTTGCCAGTTTGTGCCATTTTAGTCAATTCCATAGTTTCATTTGACTAAATCTTAGCCTATTTGCCAGCTTGCCTTTTGTTATAATCAATTGAGCACAAGAAACTTGCCCATTCAATCTCAACAACTACCCAAAATTCACAGGGATAGTATTTGGTCAGTTTTATGCAAAATAAAAATTCACAATTAAAAATAGTTGTCAAATAAGGAACGTATGTAAGATCTTCCTGGCACTAAAACTTTTCTTGTTCATTAATTTTCCACATCAGTAGGCCTCTCCTATATTCACTTGCCTCACATTTTGAATTCATAATCACAACAATAGAGATTTACTCTTTTCTCAGTAACATAATATACCAGGATGTATTGGTTCATGATTTGTGGGGCACCTTACCCTTCCACAGGATAATTGGGCAAATTCAAATAGTTTCACACTTTAGGTCGATTTCAAGCTACTTCTTTTGGACAACCATAATCCTTTCTAATCTTCAGTTGAATATCTTCACATTTCTAGTCAAATGAACAAGGAAACAGCTATGAAATTCATCCTAGAAAACACCTCAGTCAACTATTTTAAACCAAACTACATGATCAGGGTTTTGCTACTTTCCACAATCATGCACCTACAGTTGGCAGGAATTTTTTTACACTGTGAACACTTCTGTACAGACCCATTATCTCAACTTATCTGAGTGAGCTGAGCTCATGAGGTACCATGGTTTCAATAACGTTTGAGCAACCTGAGCAACGTTTGAGCAACCTGAGCAACGTTTGAGCAACCTGAAGGCTAACCTAAGACCTTGTGGTCTTAAGTCAGCCTTCAGGTTGCTCAAAATACTCTGCATAACCATGGACTTTCTGCTTGCATTCATATGTCACCTGGACACATTAAGATGTGTTTTCTTAATACACCTGCTGTCCCTGTTCACCCATCAGTAAAATAGGTACCTGGGTGTTAGTTGACTGGTGTGGGTTGCATCCTGGGGACAAAATTTACCTAATTTGCAGGAAATGCTCTGCATAACAAGGGTCTTTCTGTATAGTAGTATGTAATTGATGTCATCTATGGTCTGTATACCTTGTACATGTAGAGATAAAGGCATTATTATTATTATTATTATTATTTTGTACAGCCCCCCCTCACTTAACGACGGAGTTTTGATCCTGAGACCACGTCATTAAACAAATTCATCGCTAAGTGAGGATCATGCTATAATGGTAGTGAGTTTGTGTCAACTATCTTTGATAATGTTTTAATGTCACCTTGGCACCATTTATAACATTTCTGGTATATTTTTAAATGCTTATGCAGTAGTGTACTCTATAATGTAATAAACAGAATAGAGGAAATCAGCTCTAATATAGATTATTTAGGTATGAATACTGGTCAGATAGCCCGTCATAAGTCCAAGGCATTGATAAACGAGTATGTCAGCAAGTGAGGAGGAGAGGCTGTAATTACTGTAACTAACTAAATACCAATATTGATAGTAAACAAATAAATTCAAGTTAGGGATTTGTTGCCTTCATGCTGGGTAATTATCTTAAGTTTCTTCTCCAAAGTAATTTCTTTTGTACCATAGTAAAATTGAAATAACTTAAGTCGAACCATTGTAAGTCGAGGAACACCTACATGTGTTCTCTAAAAAAGAAACAGAGAAGACATAAAAGGAGCCCCTTTTATGTGTTCTCTAAAAATATTATCTGGCATTATATTCAAGTCTTTTACTTTTTGTTTTATGAGATGCTCCTCCTTAGCTCTGTATCCAGTGCTGTTTTGAGTTCTTCATTCTTTTTATATTGAGCATTTGGCATTTAGCCACCATTGCTTAAGCTTGACCGAAATGCTCTGCATATCAAACCACAGTACGGGCGGGGACTGAATTCACTCACCATGGGTTCAGTCCCCACCCATACCCTGGTTTGTTTGCAATCATGTCATTACGATTTTTTGAGTCATGCTTTGCATATCTATGAACTTTCTGCATGCACAACTAAATATCACCCATCACTGTAAGAATATTGTATCACACTAAAATAAATTATTATTATTGAGCATAATTTTTCATTCACCATTCCTTAAGGGTTTAGTGCTTCCCATGACATTTTTTTTTTTTGTCTCCGCAGCGTAAACGAACCGACGTCAGAGAAGGTGGAGCAAAGAAGAGGAAACATGTGTCCTGCAATGATCTTGGATATAACATCACCAGTGAAATACCATTTTCACACATTCTCTTCAACCGAAAGTTCTACGAACAATTTCCCGCCACTTTCTACTTAGACAACATTCGTAATAGTAAGTTGTGATACTTTGCGTTCTGATGATAAGTAAAACACAAGTACAACAGTTAATTATCTTTATTCCAAAACATTTTGCTTATACAGTAGGCTTCTTTAGTCGAAGAAGCCTACTCATTATTCCGGCACGTTTCATCAGTACAGTAGGCATCTGTCAGAGAAGCTTACTCTTTATTCCAAAACATTTTGCTTATACAGTAGGCTTCTTTAGTCGCAGAAGCCTACTCATTATTCCGGCACATTTCATCAGTACAGTAGGCATCTGTCAGAGAAGCTTACTCTTTATTCCAAAACATTTTGCCCATATAATAGGCTTCCTCAGTCAAAAAAGGCCTACTTTTTGTTTTAAAACTTTTGCCTCTACAGTAGGCTTCTGTCAAAGAAGCCTACTCTTTATTCTAAAACTTCTTGCCTATACAGTAGGCTTCCTCAGACAAGAAGCCTAGTCTTTATTTTTAAATGTTTTGCCTATTCCAAAGGTTCCCAACCTTTTCTATGCCCCACACCCCTAAGAAATACAGTGGAACCTCAAAAATCAAACTGCTCCCAACACGACCAATTATGTAAGTGTATTTTTGTAAGTGCTTTTATAAGTGTATTTTTGAGGGTCTGAAATGGACTAACCTAATTTACATTATTCCTGATGGGAATAAATTCATTCGGTAAAGGCACTCAAACAGACTTCTGGACCGAAGAAAGTTCGATTTTTGAGGTTCCACTGTATTTAACCCTTTGACTGTCGCAGCCGTATCTATACATTTACGAGTACGTGTTTGACATATTATATACTCATAAATTCTAGCGGCTATCAAATCAGGCAGGAGGCCCAAAGCTGTAGGCCACATTGAGAGGAATGGGTCCTGTGTGGTCCTTCGTGCACCTATAAAAAAAATCCTGGGCACGCAGTGACATAATGAGGAAAAAAAAAACTCGACCCGTTTTTTTTTTAATATAAAAATGCCGACTTAGTGGTCTATATCGTAGAAAAAGTATTTGGTAGTTATTCTCGTTTTCTTGTCTCATTTGATAGAATGGAAACTATATTATAGAAATAGAGGCGATTTTGATTATTTTGACTATAAAAGAACCTGGAAAATGGAACTCAAAGTAGGGGAATGTTTGATTTTTGCCAATGGTTCAAAAGTAAACAAATTGATTTCATTGTCCAATAATGTCCAATAGCCATACTAATATGCAGTCATGAAATGGGTCTCCCCCTTGACATTATTTGTACAATTATTACAATATTGCAGTAGTCTGCATAACAGTAAGTCTTCTATTTTTTGTTTGAATAAAAATTCAAAATAGAAAGCAAGAGTAATATCAGAGGGGCCTGGAGACATGACTGATGAACAAAGAAAATGTTATTTTAGAGCCAGGAATGTCTGCATTGTTCATTCTGGTCCTTATTTTGAAATTGTCTTATTTTTTAATTTTCGTGAAATTGGCCAAATTGCAAATTTCTGAGCATGTTATTGGGTAGTTGAAATCGATAAATGGGCAGTTTCTTGTACTCAATCGATGGAAAAAATGGAGTTCTGAAGAAATAGCTATGAGTTTGGTTGATTGGAATAATGGAATTAGCCGAAAATAGGGCTCAAAGTGGGCGAAATCGCCGATTTGTAAACATCGCCGAGGTCGCTAACTTTGCGAGAGCGTAATTCCGTCAGTTTTCCATCAAATTTCATTTTTTTGGTGTCTTTACAATCGGGAAAAGATTCTCTATCATTTCATAAGAAAAAATAATTTTTTTTTTTTGAAATTTTGCGACACCAGGAGACACCTCAGGATTGGGGGTTGCGACAGTCAAAGGGTTAATTATTGTTGCACCCCTACAAATAGAACTGTGTCGTTCATCAGGACTCTTTGTTCGCAACCCCTGAAATGCTGTCTCATACCCTCAGGTTGGGAACCCTAAGCTATACAGTAGGCTTCTTCTGTCAAAAAAGTCTGCACTTTATACTGAAATGCTTTGCCTATATAGTAGGCAAAGAAACTTACTGTGTATGTGAAACATTTCAGAATAAAGACGTGTAACTGTTGCACATATTAGGTAGTAGGCTGATAGACAGCAACCGCCCAGGGAGGTACTACCATTCTGCCAAGTGAGCATAAAATGAAAGCCTGTAATTGTTTTACATGATGGTAGGATTGCTGGTGTCTTTTTTTCTGTCTCATAAACATGCAAGATTTCAGGTTCGTCTTGCTACTTCTACTTACACTTAAGTCACACTACACATACATGTACAAGCATATACATGTATATACACACACCCCTCTGGGTTTTTCTTATTTTGATAGTCTTGTTCTTGTTATTACCCTTATTCCATGGGAAAGAGATACAGAATGTTCCTCCATAAGCCGATGCGGTCGTAACGAGTCAACTCAAATGCGGAGCAAGAGCTAGTAACCCCTTCCCTGTTTACATTACTTAAAGGTAAAAGAGAAACTTTTGTTTTCTTTTTGGGTCATTCTGCCTCAGTGGAATACAGCCGGTTTATTCGAAAGAATGAAAACGTTGTACATGTGTCATATCTCAGGATTGTACACCATTATCATGTTTCATCACTTGTTTCTGACTCAACAAGTGCCAACAACGTTTGGTGAAGAATGACAGTTCTGTGAACAAGTTCAGCTTTTCTGTAATAATTTTGTTTCACTTGTCAAGATTTACTAAGCAAGACTATCGGAAACATTCACGTTTTGCAGAGTTTTGTGCAGCATATGTTAAATCATAACGTTGAAAATGTTCATCACTGAGTGATAACATTGGCCTCATGTATTTTTCTCGTACAACACTGAGTGAAATATAGACATAACTACATGTGTCTTTGGTTGATGCATGTCGAGAGAAAAATCCCAGGATCCCATTTTAGACCAGCCTCCTTCTATCACATTACGCCTCTCCACACTTAGCAATGTACTAGTTTACTGCAACGTGGACTTCAACAGGCTTCTATGCCAGATAATACCTAAATTATGTATATTAGAGCTGATTTCCTCATTCTGTAATTACAATATCTGTACACAAACCACTAAAGAAACCATTTAAAAATTACTAAAAATAGTAATAAAACATGGCAATGTGACATTAAAACAATATACAAAGATGATGACAACTAAAGCCACTATCATTTATAGTTTGTTCTCTCATAGCGACGAATTCGTTTTTTCCAACGTTGTCTTAGGAACGGATAAACTGTCTGTAGGAGAGGCTGTATAACAAAATACAGTGACCAACAGTTAACGTATTTTTCACTCCATAAGTATGATCAGGTGCCAGATACTTTGACCGAATTTGTTCCCATAAGGATATTGTGAAGTAGATTAGTCCATTGCAGACCCCAAACATTACACGTACAAACGCACTTACATAAATACACTGCACAAGATTGGTCGGCATTCGGAGTAATCGTTATGCGGTGGTCCACTGTATTTGTTCCTCACTTGCGAGATTGTTACCAAGGGTCTTAGGAACGGAACTTCCGTCGTTAAGTGCAGGAGAGGCTGTATAAACAAAATACAGTGGAAACCCTGAGTTAAATGTATATTTTTTCACTATATAGTATGTTCATGTGCAGTTATCTGACCGAATTTGTTCCCTAGGATATTGTGAAGTGATTAGTCCATTCAGACCCCCACAACATACACGTTACAAACGATCTTATTAAATACACTTACATAATGTCTAAATTTGAGGTAATCGTTATGCGGGGGTCCCACTGTATTCATCACTTAGCGAACGAATTCGTTTACAAAACGTGTCATAGGAACGGAACTCCGTCGTTAAGTGGAGATGGCTGTATAACAATAATAACGGAGTACGGAGGAGTAGCATAATTAGTTCTAATGTAGCTAAATTCAGCTTGAAATTTTGAGGCTAGTCAAAAGGTATTTACAATTATCACATGGAACCCCCGTATCCAATTTATTTCTTACACACTGATACGTCTCCACTAGGCTGGGTGTACCTCCCAAAAATATTTTAAAGTATTGTCTTTTAAACTTTAGTAATTTATACAGACAGAAGATTACATAAACTCCCTTGATTCTGGGATTTAGTAATTTATACGGAGGAGTTGCTAGCACTAGTTCCAGTATTTAGTAATTTATACAGGAGGTGTGCTAGACCTATTCCGGTATTAGTATTTTACAGGAGTTGCTAGACCTTGTTACCATTATAGGTTTATAACGGAGTTGCTAGCACTTGTTCACAGTGTATTTAGTAATTACACAGGAGGTGTTGCTAGTACCTGGTTACCCGTACATGGAACCCGCTTAACGATCACCTCCTAATGTGACCCAATTATGTAAGTGTATCTTATTAAGTCATTTGTACATGTATGTTTGGGGTCTGAATATGACTTATCTACTTCTACATATTCCGTTATGGGAAAATTTCGATCAGTATTGGCACCTTGAACATACTTCTGGAATGAAAAATATCGTTACATCTGGGTCCACTGTATTTATTTACGTAATTATTACAGGAGTTACTAGCAGCCTTGCTACTAGCATTTAGTACAATTTATACAGGAGTTACTAGCACCTTTGCTACAGCATTTAGTTGTTATACAGGCAGTTACTATCACCTTGCTACAGCATTTAGTAATTTATACAGGATTGCTAGCAACCTTCTAATGATAATTTAGTAATTTATCAGATGTATGTCTTTGACGTTATTTTATTGGTAGTTTTTCACCAGTATCTTGATTATAAGGGAACTTCCATTTAGCTTGTTAATACAGAGTTTAACTCTGCTCCATCATTTAAAGGTTTAATGACAGAAGAAACTTTAATTATTGCATCAAATCAGTTTGTTTATAAAATTGTTCATTCTACTTTTCACAGCACTTAAATCATGATAGATTATTTACTTGAGCAGGTCCCTATCTATCTTAGATCGGAGGAAGGCATTACTCCAGGTTTGCTAATAATCTGTAATTGCAAGTTTTTTATGTGTTTATTTGAGAATAGCCAATTTTGCATCTGAAGATGGTAGCATGATGAATTGCTTGTTAGAAAAGACCAATGCAACAGTTAGGTGTCTTTATTCAAATATGTTTACGCCTACACAGTAAGCTTCTTCAGTCAATACTGTGCCGAGCCTCAAAAAGCACGCACCACACACCACCACCCTCTGCCTTGCGCCACTGAATGACCATTACAGTCCTATTACTTTTGATAAATACAATTTTTTATTTCAACAAACTGGCCATATCCCACTGAGGCAGGGTGACCTAAAAAAAAAAAAGCAAAAATTTTTCTTTTTACATTTAGTAATTTACATGGAGAAAGGGTTATCAGCCTCTTGCTCCCGGCATTTTACTTGACTCTTATGACACGTATAAATATAATTGTGAGAATTTATTATTACAGTATTACTACTAATATACATTCCTTGATTTGCAGATGATGCTGGAATTACCAAGGTGATAGAAGATATTCTATCCATAGACGTGGGTCATAGGCACAACATCACTCTTAAAATTGCCCTTCAAGTGGCCGGCTTTAAACGTGTAGTTGAGCGTATTATTGCTAACTTTAGAAGATTGTGCATTAGACACCTGCTGCAGACGTATTGCAACACCAGTGAAGGTCCGACATCTGCCGAAAGGTGCCACTTTAGTGTTGATGATTTAGCTGCACTGTTGAGGTGTGTGCACCCCTGCCCTCCTGATGATCACACTGAAGAAACACTGTTGAGGAGTGCACAGCCTCACCATACTGTTGATGACACTCAAGCAACACTGTTGAGGACTGCACAACCTCACCATACTGTTGATGACACTCAAGCAACACTGTTGAGGAGTGCACAGCCTCACCATACTGTTGATGACACTCAAGAAATACTGTTTAGCACTGCACAACCTCACCATACTGTTGATTACACTCAAGCAACACTGTTGAGGAGTGCACAGCCTCACCATACTGTTGATGACACTCAAGCAACACTGTTGAGGAGTGCACAACTTCACCATACTGTTGATGACACTCAAGCAACACTGTTGAGGAGTGCACAGCCTCACCATACTGTTGATGACACTCAAGCAACACTGTTGAGGAGTGCACAGCCTCACCATACTGTTGATGACACTCAAGAAACACTGTTTAGCAGTGCACAGCCTCACCATACTGTTGATGACACTCAAGAAACACTGTTTAGCAGTGCACAACCTCACCATACTGTTGATGACACTCAAGCAACACTGTTGAGCACTGCACAGCCTCACCATACTGTTGATGACACTCAAGAAAACACTGTTTAGCAGTGCACAACCTCGCCATACTGTTGATGACACTCAAACACTGTTGAGCATGCACAAGCCTCACCATACTGTTGATGACACTCAAACACTGTTGAGCACTGCACAGCCTCACCATACTGTTGATGACACTCAAGAAACACTGTTACAGCAAGAATTGCAGGTATTATTTACCTTCTTCTGGAAAGTCTTGCGATAATGATAATCTTTATTTCTCTAAAATTACATAATACAGCGGACCCTCAGTTTACGATATTTTTTCATTCCAGAAGTATGTTCAGGTGCCAGTACTAACCGAATTTGTTCCCATAAGGAATATTGTGAAGTAGATTAGTCCATTTGAGACCCCCAAACATACACGTACAAACGCACTTACATAAATACACTTACATAATTGGTCGCATTGGGAGGTGATCATTAAGCGGGGGTCCACTGTATAATTAATACAGGAATTCCTGGAGGATATTCTGGGGGTTGACACCCCTGCGACCCGGTCCATGACCAGCCTTATTATAATGTCTTAAGATAGGCTTAAGTTTGCCCAGAATGCTCTATATACATTTTTTCTATACTTTATAGAAAGCCACTGGTTATGCAGAACATTTTAAATTAACTTATAACTACAAACATTTTTGAGATTATTTTTTTTTCAGTACACTGGTCATATCTTGATGAGGCAAAGTGGCCTAGAGAGATAAAAATTCCTTTTTAAATTTAGTAATTTACGCAGGAGAAGGGGTTACTAGCCCCTTGCTCCCGGCATTTTAGTCGCCTCTTACGACGCACATGGCTTACGGAGGAAAAATTCTGTTCCCCTTCCCCATGGAAAAGATTAAATTAATTTGCCTGAGTTTTAAAATTTACAATCTCTGGCTCCCTTACCTTCATGTGTTAGTCTTGACTAGTTGATGGACCACGGCAGAGCAGAACATCGTCAAAAGTTTTTATCTCTTATGTGTGGGTTATCTGTGTATTAAGGTGTTCTTCAAGTGCTCTTGATCCAAGGATAAGGATCCACACACCCCATTTCTATAATGAAAGTTGATTACCTCGCACATCCCAGATGTTGTATAACCCTGTGGGTTTTGCTCTTAATGATTATAATGGGAATGGGTCTGTATTTTTGGATAGGACCTGGACCTGGAGGGGGTTTTGGGGTTCAACGCCCCTGTGGCTCAGTTTGAGACCAGGCTGTTACTGCTGGCTGCACGCAAACTGATGTATGAACCACAGCCCAGCTGGTCAGGTACTAACTTTAGTTGCCCGTCCAGTTGTCGAGTTTGTTTTGCCAGATATATCTTTACCTTTGGTATACCTTTGATGAGTTCCGAGAGTTTTGCTCCCAGAGCCCGGCCCTGAGCCAGGCTTGTCTGGCGCTTGCCTGGTTAACCAGGCTATTGCTGTTAGTGGCCTAGCTGATCTGGCACCTGGTGAAGGTAAATGTCCAGTTTATTCTTGAAGGCTTCTACACTTGTTCCAACAGTGTTTGTCCCAGGCAGTGCTTCTTCTAGCCAGTGTTTGTACAAGGCAGTGTTTGTACCAACCAGTGTTTGTACCAGGCAGTGTTTCTTCCAGGCAGTGTTTGTGAGAGGCAATGTATGTACCAGGCAGTGTTTGTGAGAGGCAATGTATGTACCAGGCAGTGTTTGTTCCAGTGTTTGTACCAGGCAGTGTTTGTACAAGCCATTATTCAGGTACTGGGATTTTGGCTCCATTAAGTTCAATTGTTTTTTATTCATTTGAATTTCAATATTTCCAACTTTGGTCATCCTACCTTGATGGAAAAACTTGTGATGTATACTCGGAGGGTGTTCCAGGGGTCAGTGCCCCTGCGGCCCGGTCCACGACCAGGCCTCGCCATGGATCACTGCCTGATCAACTAGGCAGTAAACAAAAAAAAATAAATACCATATTTACATTCTGGTCCTTAACTTATGCTTTTTATATGTGTGTTTTACAGGGGCTCAAAAACCAGTCTCCTACAAACCCACCACCACTGGGATGGCAGCAGGTGTTTTCAGTCCTCCTTGCAATGTTGCGTCGCGTTGTGCCCAGGGAAGTGTGGGGATCATTTCATAACTTCAGGATGATGAAGAGGGCTGTGAAGAGATTTATATCTCTGGGTCGCTATGATAGCTTCCATGTTGGACACATAATGACCAACATCAATTTAAAGGATTGCAAGTGAGTTTCTTAATTATAATAATAATCTTCATTTCTGCAAGTACAGTGGACCCCCGCATAACGATTACCTCCGAATGCGACCAATTATGTAAGTGTATTTATGTAAGTGCATTTGTACGTGTATGTTTGGGGGTCTGAAATGGACTAATCTACTTCACAATATTTCTTATGGGAACAAATTCGGTCAGTACTGGCACCTGAACATACTTCTGGAGTGAAAAAATATCGTTAACCGGGGGTCCACTGTATATGCACAATGTATGCAGACCATAGTTGACATCAATGACATACTACTATATAGAAAGTCCCTTGTTATGTACAGCATTTTGGGCAAATTAGGTCAGTTTTGTCTCCATGATGCAACCTACACCAGTTGACTAACACTCAGGTACCTATTTAACTGATAGGTGAACATGGACAGCAGGTGTCTTAAGGAAATACATCCTAATGTTTCCACCCATCCCAGGGATTGAACCACAGACTTCAGTGTGTGAGCTGAGTGTGCTAGCAATCTAGCAATCGATATAAGTATTAGACAGTTTGAGCCTGCTTTAGAAATCCCACTTAACTGAAGAGTGGATGACAAGTGAGTCTGCCTAGTAAGGTCATTGAAGCTAAAACCTTGGCCAGCTTCAAATTTAGGTTAGATATTAGCAGGGGGTAAAGGAGGTTTTGTGTGCGAGGGGCTTGGACTTCCAGCAGGCATGTGTGAGCGTGTTTGATAGGAGTGAATGGAGACAAATGGTTTTTAATACTTGACGTGCTGTTGGAGTGTGAGCAAAGTAACATTTATGAAGGGGTTCAGGGAAACCGGCAGGCCGGACTTGAGTCCTGGAGATGGGAAGTACAGTGTCTGCACTCTGAAGGAGAGGTGTTAATGTTGCAGTTTAAAAACTGTAGTGTAAAGCACCCTTCTGGCGGGACAGTGATGGAGTGAATGATGGTGAAAGTTTTTCTTTTTCTGGCCACCTTGCCTTGGTGGGAATCGGCAAGTGTGATAATAAAAAATAATAAAAAAATTAGCAGTTTGGAGGGATATGTTGTGTATCTTTATATGTATATGCTTCTAAACTGTTGTGTTCTGAGCACCTCTGCAAAAACAGTGATTATGTGTGAGTGAGGTGAAAGTGTTGAATGATGATGAAAGTATTTTCTTTTTGGGGATTTTCTTTCTTTTTTGGGTCACCCTGCCTCAGTGGGAGACGGCCGACTTGTTTAAAAAAATATATATAGATATATATTGAGTAAGAGGGGCTGGATTTGAGTGGGACTTGCACATGAGTTAATAGGGTTATCAAAGTTGAATAAGGATTGGGCAAGTATTTATGTTTAGTGAGTTTGGTCCACAGGGTATTCTGCAGTAATAGTCTTATATATTTTTCACCATATTTTAAAGAGAACAATTGTTTATCATTTCCAGGTGGGCTTCATCCCTAAGTAACTTCAGGCTGAAGACGAACGTCATTGCCAAATTGTTCGTGTGGGTCATGTGCCGACTCGTTATGGTAACATTGAATAGTTTTTTCTACTTGACGGAACATGCCGCCTACCACAACCAGCTTCTGTATTACCGCAAGAGAGTGTGGCAACAGCAACACGACCGAGGATTGAATGCACTAATGAACAACGACTCTTTGGTGAGGTTTTCCCAAGAAATATCCCAGGTGGTATCCCCTGACGAGCCCGGGCAAAATAAATTTCCTCGCATTAGATTTATACCTAAAAAACAAGATGTAAGGCCCATTATGCCACTAGGAAGAGGTGGAATGTCACTATCGCTTTTGTTAAAGGCTCGTGTTCTGTTAGGCCATCTCAGCAAGGCGCACATGAAAGGAAGTATGAAAACAAAATCATCTTCAGACTTACACAATGCTTGGTGTATGTATACCAAAAAAATACTTGTCAAGGAAAACAGCAACAACCGTTTGTATTTTGTGCGGACGGACATCAGAGATGCTTATGGATCAATTCTACATAATAAATTAGTAGATTTACTGCAGCAGTGTATTGAAAATTTAGCCCCTACACTGGCATTTGGCCAGTATGTATCAATGAGGATGGGTGGCAAGACAGGTAAAAAGATTACCTACATACTTCTTGACGGGAATAAACAGCCCACCACTTCACTCATACGTGGCGCAGAGAGACTAGTAGAAGTGTACACACCAGTGATTGTTCAGCCACAGAAAGTTGTTGAAGAAATTAAACAACTTTTATGTAAGCTAATTATATCTAATGGCTCTAAGCTATTTAGAATTGTTCGCGGTTTGCCCCAGGGAGGTTCCCTGTCTGCCGCACTCTGTGAGTTCTATTATGCAGCAATGTGTGCAGCTTACTTTTGTCGATTTAATCATGGCAGCAATGTCCTTTTTCGAGCTGTTGATGATTTTCTTTTCATTTCTGAAGCTCGCAGAGATGCAGAGCAATTCATGGAACATGTGAAGAGTGGCATCCCTGAGTTTAATTGTTCAATGAACAAAGAGAAAACTCTTCATAATCTTGACACACAGATTGAGCACCGCGTTAGTTTTTGTGGTATAATCGTATGTTTGAAATCACTCCAACTTCTGGTGAATACCTCCAGCCTAGCCATTGGCTATCCTAAATATACGATGCGCCTAAACACTTACGAAAGCCCTGGAAAATTTGTGAAGGAAAGGCTTAGGCAGGTAACACTGACACGCCTTCAGCCACTCATGCTAGATCCATCATACACAAAAACCAATGGAGTCATTACCAATGTATGGCGCAGTGGTTTTATGGCTGGAGCTAGGCTGTTGGCTATGTTGAGCAATGTTTTGGCACCACGAGGGAAAATCAATGCAAAATTTATTTCACTTAGTGTTATTGAAGTAGGACATAAAGTTTATAGGAGAATTCAATCAGTGTTTCAACGAGAGGATGTCAACTTAACAGTTCCGAAGGTGGTGATTTTGATCACGTATGTCACAGGGTTTGTACCATGATGAACTGGCCTGGGTTGCCAAAATGGCCACGAATATACAACAATCTGCGAAGATTTTTGAAGAGAATGCTGGTCAATGTGCCTGGTGATATGCGGAGGCTACTCCCAACACTCCTTCATGATAACCCAACTCGGTAACCCATGTTTTGTTGCAGACATTTTCATTATACCACCAGGTAACTATCTCCTCACCTGTCGCTAGTAGACAGGCGAGGAGATAGTTACCCTCTGTCACTCTTAAACATTCTCTGGTATCACTATGAAGCTATGTACCATGGTATCTCTCTACTAGTCACTATCAAGTTCACTCTACTACTCGCTATCATGGTATCAACCTGTTAAGATCAAGGTATCTCTACCAGTCAAGATCAAGCACCCTGCCACTGTCAGGCTTAATCCCTCAGCCTGACAATCAAACTATAAATCCGCTGTTAGAATGATCAGTCAGGTGATGCATAAATCACTCTCCCCCTCTGTTAGAATGAGTCAGCTACTACACAACTCATTCTCCCTCTATTCTAAAGCCTCCATTTACCCAGCATATCAACCATCCTCACTCACCATTATACATACTGTATATTCTGCATATAAAGTACACTTAATACAAATATAAAATTAGCATTAAAAGGTCATAGTGGCCTTTGATGGGATACCTCTGTGATATGCAATAAAAGGTCTTGAAAAACCCATATAAATCAAAGGTTTGAAACCCATACCAATAAAAGATTTCAAAAGCCATTCAAATAAAAGGTCTTCCACTCTATATCTTTTGTTTACATGCCTATCCAGATTCTGAAATATTTCTTACTAGGCCCCACAAAGAGTCTCACTAGGCCTACTAGGCCTCCATATTAGCACTGATCTTTGAATAGGATTTTTTTTATTTATTGTGATAGTTGCCATTTAATTACCATTTCTTCAGTTAAATTTGTGTTTAACCCTTAATCTGTCCAAACGTAGATCTACGTTTTTTCAACTTTTGCAAGTATGTAAAAAATGTAGACTTTCTTTTTTTTTTTACATTTGAAAATGTGTAAAAACACTTTGATCTACGTTTTTTTTCGTTATATTTGAAAATATGTAAAAAAACTTTTGGAGCACCACGCATGTGAACGTAGATCTGTTTGGACAGTTTAACCCGTAAACGGTCCAAGCAGATCTACGTTCATACGCATAGTACTCCAAAAAGAGATCTATGTTTTTTTTACATATTTTCAAACATAACAAAAAAACAAAACGTAGATCAAAGTTTTTTTTTACACATTTTCAAATGTAAAAAAAAAAAAAAGAAGATCTCCTTTTTTTTCATACTTTCAAATGTTGAAAAAACGTATATATACGTTTGGACCGTTTACGGTTAAGGGTTTTAATATGGCAGTTAATGTGATCTGATTTTAAGAATAAAGTATCTTTAAGTATCTGTAAGGTATCTTTATGTAACTATTAAGTATCTGTAAGGTATCTTTATGTAACTATTAGTATCTGTAAGGTATCTTTATGTAACTATTCAGTATCTGTAAGGTATCTTTATGTAACTATTAGTATCTGTAAGGTATCTTTATGTAACTATTAAGTATCTGTAAGGTATCTTTAAGTAACTATTAGTATCTGTAAGGTATCTTTATGTAACTATTAGTATCTGTAAGGTATCTTTATGTAACTATTCAGTATCTGTAAGGTATCTTTATGTAACTATTAGTATCTGTAAGGTATCTTTATGTAACTATTAAGTATCTGTAAGGTATCTTTATGTAACTATTAAGTATCTGTAAGGTACTTATGTAACTTAGTATCTGTAAGGTACTTATGTACTATTAGTATCTGTAAGGTATCTTTATGTAACTATTAGTATCTGTAAGGTATCTTTATGTAACTATTAAGTATCTGTAAGGTATCTTTATGTAACTATTAAGTATCTGTAAGGTATCTTTATGTAACTATTAGTATCTGTAAGGTATCTTTATGTAACTATTAAGTATCTGTAAGGTATCTTTATGTAACTATTCAGTATCTGTAAGGTATCTTTATGTAACTATTCAGTATCTGTAAGGTATCTTTATGTAACTATTAGTATCTGTAAGGTATCTTTATGTAACTATTAGTATCTGTAAGGTATCTTTATGTAACTATTAGTATCTGTAAGGTATCTTTATGTAACTATTAGTATCTGTAAGGTATCTTTATGTAACTATTAGTATCTGTAAGGTATCTTTATGTAACTATTAAGTATCTGTAAGGTATCTTTATGTAACTATTAGTATCTGTAAGGTATCTTTATGTAACTATTAGTATCTGTAAGGTATCTTTATGTAACTTTTAGTATCTGTAAGGTATCTTTATGTAACTATTAGTATCTGTAAGGTATCTTTATGTAACTATTAGTATCTGTAAGGTATCTTTATGTAACTATTTAATGTATGTTCTATGTACTTTTAGTATCTGTAAGTATCTATGAACTATAGCATCTGTAAGGTATATTAGTAACTTTAGTATCTGTAAGGTATCTATAAATTGTTCTTAAGTATCTTATGTAACTATTTGTATCTGTAAGGTATCTTTATGTACTATAGTATCTGTAAGTATCTTTATAATTTTAGTATCTTAAAGGTTTCTATAATGTAACTATTAAATTGTAATCTTATAAATTATCTTAAGTATCTATTACATGTATCTTTAAGGTACTGAGAACTTGTATCTGAAGTACAGAACTTGATCCCGCTAGGTACCTTTGTAACGGGTTAGTACTGGCAGACTAGAACTAGTTCTCTAGGACCATGAACGGATTAGGCTGTGGACGTTGGGAACAATGAGTACTGTATCCTCCCTATGGGGAACTTTAGTTCGAAAGGATCCCCAGAGAGGAGTCAAGGTCTGAGGTATCTTACTACTTTGAGTATCGAAGGTCGTAGTAACGATATATCTGAGGACATTTAAAAAAAAAATAAAAAGTATCTGTTAGGTATCTTTTGTAACTTTAGTATCTTAAGTATCTTTATGTAACTATTATATCTTTCTTATGTATACTGTATCTTGTTCTTTATAACTTTAAGTTTTCTGTAAGTATCTTTATACTTTAGTTCTTAAGTAACTTTATTTACTTTAAGTATTCCTGAAAGATCTTTATGTAAATATAAGTATCTTAATATTTTATTGTAATTTGCCTAAGGATTTATGATTTAATATTTTTTTTATTAAATAAGACATTGGTATTTATGTCTATAAGATCATAAGGTTTATGTCATAATGCATGGTTTATGTCTAAGGACAGTGTTATGTCTAAAGTACATTGGTTATTTAAAGACATTGCTTAATGGTCTTAAGTATCTATGTTAATGGACTAAAGATCATTAGTTGTAATGTCTAAGACTTTTAATCTAAAGCTCATATGGGTTTCTATAACTTGTTATCTAAAATACATTTGTTGTATTTTTGATGTTTGTGATGATCTTAGTATCTAGTTTTAGAATAAGAAAACTTTGATTATGAACTCTCTATTATCTTTTTGAAATTATATCTATGCGTAAAAAGGGAATATAATCGACTGTCTATAATTTTAAAAATTATGTATCTAGTTTATTAACCAATGTCTACCTTATTGGTTAATGGTCTAAGACATTGGTTAATGGCTAAGTCTTGCCTTTATTGCCTGGGGATAAATGTGGTTTAATTGTCTAGACATTGGGTTAATGTCTAACATTGGTTAATGCTAAGACATGGTTAATGGCTAAGACATTGGTTAATGGCTAAGACATTGGTTAATGGCTAAGACATTGGTTAATGGCTAAGACATTGGTTAATGGCTAAGACATTGGTTAATGGCTAAGACATTGGTTAATGGCTAAGACATTGGTTAATGTCTAAGACATTGGTTAATGGCTAAGACATTGGTTAATGGCATAAGACATGTGGTTAAATGGCTAAGGACATTGGTTAATGGCTAAGACATTGGTTAATGGCTAAGACATTGGTTAATGGCTAAGACATTGGTTAATGGCTAAGACATTGGTTAATGGCTAAGACATTGGTTAATGTCTAAGACATTGGTAATGGCTAAGACATTGGTTAATGTCTAAGACATTGGTTAATGTCTAAGACATTGGTTAATGTCTAAGACATTGGTTAATGTCTAAGACATTGGTTAATGGCTAAGACATTGGTTTTAAAGTCTAAGACATTGGTTAATGTCTAAGACATTGGTTAATGGCTAAGACATTGGTTAATGGCTAAGACATTGGTTAATGGCTAAGGGAAGACATTTGTTGTAGATGTGAGATGGTTAGGTCTGAGGTTTTAGAATAAAGACAACTTGCATTATGACCCTCTCTGATTATCCCAGAATTATCACGGCTAAAAAGGAATATAAAACAGAGAGGACCATAATAAAAGATATGAATATCTAGTATGGTAACTATGCGCTGCTCCCATAAGGGTCACACGGCGAGTTATGGTTAAATATCCAGCACGTGTTGATCCCTTTTTGGCACTGGGTAATAAATATTGTAGGGTATTGATTTATTCATCTTGGGAGTATAACTGGTGTTCACCGTGAGGGTAAACTCCTTCACTTAGTAGGGGATAAGGTAGTAGGTTGGTAGATAGCAACTACCCAGGGAGGTACTACCGTCCTGTGGTAGTAGGTTGGTAGATAGCAACCACCCAGGAAGGTACTACCATCCTGTGGTAGTAGGTTGGTAAACAGCAACCACCCAGGGAGGTACTACCATCCTGTGGTAGTAGGTTGGTAAACGGCAACCACCCAGGGGAATAATACAACAGATATTAATGCCAAATAAACCGACCCACATAAATCAATATGACAACATTTGTATTAGCAAATATACAGGGCCTAAAGTCACCAACAAATAATAAAACACCTTTCATCACTGGACTGCTCACAGAGTCAAATGCAGTGTTTGTGGCTTTCCAAGAGACCCACGTAAAGGATCACTTTGACAACGAAATATAGATTTCAGGTTATAACTTAGATGTGACAGGAAAAAACAGGCAAAAAGATGGGAGGTGGTTCATCTGTATGTCACAGAGTCACTCATTTGCTCGAAATTACTAAACACCTGGCCCTGATCCACCACGAGGCCTGGTCACAGACCGGGCTGTGGGGGGAACAACCCAGACTCCCTCCAGGTACACCACAAAAGATATATTGAGACACATGTGCAACATCTGGGTATCTTTATTGTAGACGTTTCGCCCATCCAGTGGCTTTATCAGTACAAATTCTAGGACATAACTTAAAGACAGGAGAACTATGTACAGAAGATGAGGTAATCAGTCCCTCAACCTAGCAGTAGTTGGAAAGAGCACCGTAGTCTGCTACCTGTCCCATTTCCACCTGACGCTACTATATAAGCATCAGGTGCCTTGCTTCTGCTTCAGAATCTCCACAACTACGGTGGTCTTCGCACTACTGCTAGGTTGAGGGACTGATTACCTCATCTTCTGTACATAGTTCTCCTGTCTTCCAGTTATGTCCTGGAATTTGTATTGATAAAGCCACTGGATGGCGAAACGTCTACAATAAAGATACCCAGATGTTACACATGTGTCTCAATTTCATCTTGTTGGTATTGTATACCATTCGTGGCTCGGTGGTCTGGTGGCTAAAGCTCCCGCTTCACACACGGAGGGCCCGGGTTCGATTCCCGGCGGGTGGAA